TGTGCTGGCCATCTCTTAGCATACCGCCCAACACTTGGGTAGGCTGAGCTCATAGCTGGGGACAGTGCAGCCACTTTACCTCTGAGAGTGGTTCTCAGAAGTGATCTGACTCAGGCACTCTGCTGAGTCACAGATCCTTCCCCACTTCCTCCTTACTTGCAGAAAGTAGTAGTTTTCTTTTGAACTAAATTAGCAGAAACGTAATTACCTCCCACGCCCTTGGCACTGGCTTAAGCACAAAAATCTGTGTGTCTATCAGGAGGAGCGGAAAGGATGGATGAGGTTGAAAGCCCTCCTCTCACTCTTATTCCCGCTCATTCCTGAAGGTCATTTGTATGAGACTGTGCCTGCTTATCTCCTGATTCAGGCAATATTATGGTGCTGACAAAATATAACCCACAAAAGAAAAGAAGGAACAAAGTCAGGGTATGCTTTCCCTAAAGATCTGCAGAGCTCATACGACTAGAAGAAGAAACGGCTTTCTCCAGCACACCAAGCTTGATCCAAAATTAAAGGCATGTGGAAATGAGAGATGTAGCTGTGCTTGGAAAGGCCCAAATGTTTTTTTCTGAGACCAGCCTACCATTAGTTTCCCTGGATGCGTTCCACCAAGCAACAATGCTAAGTACCTTTTAGCAGCTGGGTCCAGTGCTCTTTTTTGTGCCATCCTGCTGAGCATTGGTCGAAATCCAAAGAGCCTTGTAAGTACACAATGGGATGTGTAGGTAATCCCATTGCTTTAGGTGCAGGTACTTCACGCTTACAGATAAGCATGTTCTTCAATAATTGTCTGAATTGACAAGACAGCAACCAGCCCCTCACATGAATGTCTTCCTATGAGAAAAATACAGCACCATACAACAGCTCTGCAACACCTACATCATCCCTAGCAGTGTATATCCCATAGCTGGGGAGGAGCTGTGTTGATGATATAAGGTCTTTTCCTTCTCTCTTCCCCATCCTCCCTACTCCCCAGCCGTGCCTAAACCTTTGGGTTGACTCAGTCCTTGAGGGCCTGAAAAGGGCTTGACCCAGAATAAAAAAACAGTGTTGTTCCTATGTAGTAAATATTTAAAATGTTTTATCAGGGTAAATAAATGCTAAATTCTGTGAGCCCAGGGAATGGAATTAACACGTTTGGCTTACTAAAACATTTATAGAGTCAATGTCAGCCAGCAGAACACAGCCAAGAGGGTTTTTTAAAGGTAAACTGTAATGCTTTTAAAATAAATACTGAGAGCTGTTTAAGATCTTCAATTATTAACAGAAGAAAAGCGGGGGCTGAAAAACGGCAAACAATCCCTTTTGTGGTGCTTTTGCTAACCTCTGCTCAGTTATCTCTTTGTCCAGCCCAGAGCAAGCTCCCTAGGGCAGATGTTGTGCCTTCTCCAATGTCTGGAAAGTGTCTAGCACATGCAGAGAGCTTCCACGAATGAATAAGTAAATGCAGAATGCCAGATATTTGAAAAACATTTCTTTCTATATTTACTTGCCAGGACATAAATTCGGAACTATGTGTTTATAGTTGGCTGGCAATAGCACTGCCAACCTTTGTGAGGCAGTGTGAAAATACAGCTCTCCACCCAAAAGGTGGTTGTTCACATCACCTACATGGAATCCAAAGGCCAGATTTTGAGTCTGAACAGTTCACCAGGCATTCTGATTTAATTACAAGCTGCACAGCTCATTGCTACGAATGCCAGCTTTAGGTCCGTAAGGGAGAAAGTGCAAAAGGTGTATTATGGTGTACTACAGAGAGCATCAGGCAATGGGGTTTGCGTTGCCATGAGCACCCATGTTGCATGCTATCTGTGTCATGGTGTGCAAAGGCCTAGAACATGCATAAGCTGGGACAGAGAGCTCACTTCAAATTCAGCTGTCTTTTCTTCCTCTGCACGGGAAATGAAAGGGCATGTAAATGTGTGTGGCAGTTCTCACCACTGTTTAGAAAAGGTTTTTTGACTGTATGCAAGATGATTCACCTTGATCTACCTTGATCAGAAATGCAACTGATCCACCACAGATCTGTAGTTCAGTTCAGATTCTGATCTGTGGCTCTTGAATTTCAGAACACAGTTTTGACATGTTTTTTTTTTTTTTATAAAAAGAAAGTGTCACTGTTTGTTCTGCCTATCTAAAGGTCTTACCTGGTGTTTTCTTATTCCTTCATCTCTTCTCCCCGTTCTCTCCTCTGGTTGTCCGGGCCCCATTCCCCATGCCATTTCTGCAATAGCTATTCATGTTGCAAGTGGCAGAGAATTATTATGTAACTTAATGACAGCTACTGCATTGCAGCCATAAGCTTGACTAGTGTGGAGAGAGCATGGTCATATCCCTTATCCTTCTATGGGTAGCATTTGATACATCTCAGAGCACATTCTATGATTTCTAAAGCTGCTACAGAGATAGCGGTTTTAAACTTAAGAACCTACTTTCATGGTAATACATGTAAGTCTACTAATTACTGGAATTACCTGGATTTGAAAAAATTCTACCTGAACAAAGTACTGTGCAGCAAACACCTCAATTCATAGTGACAGTATTCAAAGCTCATCTCTTCTTCAGCGGTGTTTTATTATCCTCAGAAGCTTCTCTTTAATCTAGCTGAAGCACCTGTAAATCTCAGAAACACAGAATTGCAGAGTTAGAATGAATCTCAAGTGATCATTTAGCCCAATTCCCCTGCCAAAGCAGGCTCCCTACACCAGGTCACAAAGGTAGATTTCCGGATGGGTCTTGAATATCTCCATCGAAGGAGATTCCACCACTTCTCTGGGCAACCTGTTCCAGTTCTCCTAATATAAAGAAGTTCTTTCACAAGTTTGTATGGAACTTCCTATGTTCAAGTGTTAAATCTATTAAATCTTTTTAATCCTCTGCGTGTTGTACATGTTCCCCTGCCTGTCTCAACACCTTGCCACCTCATGTTTAGGTGCAAGCCTTTCATGTCACAAGCACTGTTTTGTTAACAGAAAGGGCATTGGTTTGTGCAGATGTTATCTTTTCTGGACATTCATAGTACTCTGAAGCACTTTCATGGCATGAGTGGTGATGAAGCTATATTTAAAACAAGAGAGCTTTTTGTTGATCATGATGTGTTTCCTCACTACTCTTTCAAGAGCACTGGTAATATACTATGTTGAATATGAAATCAATTAATAAAAAAAATTGAGAGCAAATTACGTAAGACCTGGTATTAGAACTTTTGACCTTGTAATCTTGGCTATGATTTGGATTAGCAAGGCTAATCGCTAAAAATTAGGGCCTTTCTGTGCCTTAGTGTTGATTTATTTGAATCTACAGATGTTTTAATTTGGCTTTGGGGTGTTGGTTTTTGGTTGTTTTTTTTTTTTTTTAAGGTTCATAACCATACATAGTCTTTTAACTTCCTTGTACTTGTTTCCATTGTCTAGAGGAAAGTAGGACGTTGTTTTAATTTTCTAGTGAACATCAGATTCTCTTCTGCTGTAAAGTACTGGAGGGACATTGATGTGGACTGTAATTTATTTTGTGCATATACTTAGAATTAATAGGCTGAATGAGGCAAGCAGTTAGGAGAACAGGTTGATTGCCTCATGTAATCACAGCGCTATTTTCCCACTGAGATTAACTATCCAAATAAGTACCTCAAGGTAACCGAGCAAACTGAGCAACCAGAGCATCCCATTGTTGTCCAGGATTATTTTTGAACCTGACAGTATTGCCCTTCATGTAAGGATCTCCTTAAGAAATCTGGCACATTTCGTATAGAATTTTGCCTCCCTTGGATGCTAGCATGAACCACTGACAGGTAACTGAACTGACTGCAAACACCTGAGGAACTGTTCTGACTGGAATAAACTAGTGGCCAACTTTGGATTGTGAGCAGCGAGTGATCTTGCTAGCCTTGCAGCTGATGCCACCCTTGATTGCATCTATTGCATTCCATCTCATAGCCAGGGAACAAACACAAGGCCTTAGCTGTGAATTGGCAAGTGGATTGCCTGTGAGTGAAAGTATGAAAATTTGCCAAAAAAAAGAAAGAAAGAAAGAAAGAAAGAAAGAAAGAAAGAAAGAAAGAAAGAAAGAAAGAAAGAAAGAAAGAAAGAGTAATAAAAATGAGAATCCAAGTTCTTAGATGATAATTGTTAATTGTTATCACATACTCTCTTGGCAGATGTATCACAGACATTTCCAACTCATGAATCACATTTTTCAAAAATCACAGCTAATATCAACTTCTCTGAGAAGATGGCAGCATTTGCAGAAGACACTAATGGCTTCTGGCTCTCAGTCATTGCAAAATCATGATCTTGTAATTGCTCTGATTTGGCTATTTGTAGACTGTTGAGTTCTAGAGGTCTCTCAATATTTCCGAGATTCATAGCTTCCCAATGACAGTGGTTGCCATCACTGACACCAGTGATGATAACTTTAAGAACTTGTAATTCTGAATTCTTACTAAACGCTTCCAAGGCTGCCTGGTTGTACAAAAGGAGACAGAGAAGAACACGAGTGTGCAGCTTGTGTCAGGCTCACCTCTGAAAGAACTCAGCATTGCAGCAGGGACACAAATTCAGTTTGCTGTCTCTCCCCATGCTCTGTGTTGTGGCTCTGTGGCACCCCACCATTCATCCTCTTGTATATCTCTCTGCACTTGTCCTGCTTCAGTTCTGATTGTTCTTCAGTCTTCCCAAGTTTTAACTCCTAAATGCTATCTTGGAAACACCCTAGGTCTGATTTTCAAGAACAGCCAGAACACTTAATGTATTCCTCTCCAGAGTGATGGCATTTCAGTGACAGGCAATACCTGTCTTACTTTAGCCTTTACTTTTAGTGGTAAGCTGCTGAGATGCTTGGAATCTTCTGGAGGGAAGATGCTTATATCATCAAGGTAATTAGTTCAGATGAGGGGGTAAGAATTAAAAATGACATTATTGTTCAATTTATAGCCTCTCATAGGTGCTTTCTATAAATTTTGTTCTCTTGCTGATAAGTGCATCCTTCTGCTCTCTCTGCAGGTCTCCAGGTGGTTTTAAATTCAATTATCAAGGCCATGGTCCCTTTGTTGCATATTGCCCTGCTGGTGCTGTTTGTCATCATTATCTATGCCATCATTGGACTGGAATTATTCATGGGAAAGATGCATAAGACCTGCTACCACGTGCAAGGGGGGCTGATAGGTAAGAGGAATGTTTGTTGGCATGTAGCCCTGTTCCTTTGTTTTCTGTCTCTTACAAGAAGATTTCTACCAGTGTCTTCACGTTCTGACAGGAGGGAGGGTTTATGCAGCCATATGACAGTCCGTGTGTGCTGGTGAAAATAACATCCAAATACTAAGCAACCACTTATTAGGACCCTGAAGTTCAAGGAGCAGGAGAAAGAGTGCTTTGGTGCTGCAACTCTACTGTTGCAGTAAAATGAAATCTCTGGGATGAACAGAAACATCCTTTTTCACAAGACCAGCTCCTTCATTGGTCTAATACTTCAGTCACTGTCCTTAATTTAATTTAATTTTAATCTCTATTGATAATCTGGGTGAGGGGATTGAGTGCACAGCCAAGAGGTTTGCTGATTACACCAAGCTGGGAGAAAGTGTTGATCTGTCTGAAGGTAGGAAGGCCCTACAGAGGAATCTGGACAGGCTGGATTGCTGGGCTGAGGCAAATAGGATGAAGTTCAATGAGACCAAGTGCTGGATCTTGCACTTTAGTCACAACAACACTAAGCAACGCTTCAGGCTTGGGGAAGACTGATTGGAAAGCTGCCTGCAGGAAAAGGATCTGGGGTGTTGGTCAACACTTGGCTGAACATGAGCCAGCAGTGTGCCCAGCTGGCGAAGAAGGCCAGTGGCATCCTGGCTTGTATCAGAAATAGTGCAGCCAGCAGGAGCAGGGAAGTGACCATCTCCCTGTACTTAGCTCTGCTAAGGCTGCATCTTGACTACTGCGTTCAGTCTCAGGCCCCTCAGTACAAGAAAGACATTGAGACCCTAAAGCATTTCCAGAGAAGGACAATGGAGCTGTGAGGTGTCTGGAGCATAAGTCTTATGAGTAAGAGCTGAGGGAACTCAGATTGTTTAGTTTGGAGAAGAGGCTTAGGGGAGTCCTTATTGCCCTCTATGACTCCATGAAAGGAGGTTGTGGTGAGGTGGGGGTTTGCTGCTTATTTCAGGTGATACCAATAGGATGAGAAGGAAGGGCTTCTAGTTGTGCCAGGGAAGGTTCAGGCTAGATATTAGGAAAAACTTATTCTCTGAAAGAGTGGTGAGGCATTGGAACAGGACAACTGAGGAGGTGGGAGAGTCACCATTTCTGAAGGTGTTTAAAGAAAGGGTAGTAGTAGAATTTAAGAACAGGTTTAGCAGGCAACATTGGAGGTAGTTTGACAGTTGGACTAAATGACCATAGAGGTCTTTTCCAATGTGTATGAGTCTATGATAATTTCATTTATTTTCATCTTGAGCACTCCATTTTTGGCCAGTATGTTAAAGCTACAAGAAGAACTGCCAATCACTGCTGAGCACAGTAGCAGACACTTTAATTTGGATCTTTGCCACACAGAATAAGAAACAAATGTAATTGCCTGCTCCCCTGAACATAGATAGCTGCATCTGTTACAGATGCAACACAAGACTCTGAAATGTGTATTACTCTATTGCAGGAGTTTTTGTGCCTAAAGAATCTTTGTTCTGTAATATTTTTCATATTAGGCAAACTTGATGTAAGGGTGCTCACATCTTTGGAAACATCTATACAGAATAAAGGATGGATAATCAAGCGTTAGAGTCTTACAGAGCTTCTGAGTGCCATTGGGCTACTGATAAAATGCCACATAGCTTCTAAACTCTGAAAGAGCAGAGCTCTTGCTGCTGTAATGTAGTATTGCCCAAGCCCATACCATCCTATTTCCAGAGCACCGAAGCCTGTCTGCTGCAGGGTTTCAGCCTCCTCCAAGAAGGTGCCAGTAAGCGATGCAGGACCCTTCCAAGGTTAACCCCAATGCAAGGTGACTGCCAGATGAAAGCTTGATCATAACTTGCAGCCTAAACACTTGAAGTAATGTTTCCTCTCGTATTGGAAGTTGTTATTTCTTTCTCCTAGGAGGATAAGTGTTTAATAATAATAATAATAATAATAATAATAATAATAACAACAACAATTTTTAAAAGTACATTTTAAAACTGTAAAATTTGACAGCTTAGCCATTTTTTTTCTTTTCCTTTTTCTTTTTTTACGAAAAGAAAGAGAAGCACGACAAAAAAGCCCTTTGATTGAAAATAATAGTTTCTCGTGTATTTTGAGAGAAGTCTGTCAAAGTCATTGCAAAATATACTTGTTAAAATCAGCTAGCCTTCACTTGCTTATCACTGTGTCAAACAGCAATTAATTCTCTTCATCTCTGTTCTCTCCCTCCTCTCCTTAAGATACACCTGCAGAAGATGACCCATCTCCCTGTGCCCCCCAGTCTGCACATGGGCGGCAGTGCCAGAATGGAACCGAGTGCAAGGCAGGCTGGGAGGGACCCAAGCACGGCATTACAAACTTTGACAATTTTGCTTTTGCCATGCTGACAGTGTTTCAGTGCATCACAATGGAGGGGTGGACAGATGTACTCTACTGGGTACGTATCCGAAAATGATAACTGAAAGGCCTGCCCATGCTCTCCATTAGTTTTGAAACTTTGGACATTAGCTTGAGCTTTGCTTTTTATGCTTGTTCTTAATAGTGAAGGCTTGATTGCTAGTATGGAGCTTTAATTAACTCAGAATATGGATGAAATGGGAGGGTTTAGATGGTACAGTTAAATCAAATGTAAATACTGACTTTAAACTGATGTTGAAAGATGGCACAAGGCTTACTAGCTGGCATGTGGCTTATTGCTCTGAAGATTTGCAGTGTACCTTTGTTGACCAGAATGTCATATAACGACCCTCTTTGCTGGGGTTATTATCCCATGCATCTCCAGATTTGTAATATAGAACTAGATGTTATATCCATGGCATTAATGCAACAAAGGCACTATGCTGATCTGCTCATAGGTCTCACAAACCCTTCTTCATGCCAGCATGACTCCTGATTATAACTTTTATCCTAATACTAATTCTTCATTCTCTCCTAACTTTGATACTTGTGTAAATCTTGGTTATATATTTAACACACACACACACACACATACACAAATCATAATCTTTAATCTAAATGTAGAATTTTAAATGAAATCTCATCTTTTCCTTTACCCTAATTCTGAAACTTTCAATGCCTTTAGTTTCTACCTTGTAATTCCTAACATGTTGGAGGATTCAGTGGAAACACAATTAAGCTATAGGAGTTAAAATCAGATTTGGCCTGCACTTGTAAACCAGATATAAACACGATTAGATTCAGCTCTTGCAGTCAACTTTTGCATAAATACTTTCTGGTCCAGGCATTTGATTCACATACAGTTCACTCCTGACTGCACAAGGCTAACCTAGGCTATTTTTTGACAGCTGGAATGTTATGACACTTGGTTCTCCAAGATGGTAGGAATTCCAGTGCATGATGGAATTTAACCTGAGAAGACCCAAAAAACATGAAAGGGTAATCTGGACTGAAGCCTGACTGAAGCAGGCTTGTACCGTTAATCAACATTAGCTTCTCTCTTAAACAAGAGCCTGAAGCTGTATTCTACCCAGCAGTAGGTTAGGGTTTACAAGATTTTACTTTGAAGATTTAGCTTATCTGCAATAGATATTCTTTGTGTGGAACGGCTAACAGTTGTCCTCTTATCCTCTTAAATTTAGATTAGAACTGTGACTCTAGCTTCCTTCTAATGCCTGAGACAAAGAGCAGAGATCAAACCACAAGGAGAGTCCGAATCATAGAACACAGAAATTGGCTTTACTTGAAGAGAGAATATAAATTAATAAAACAATAAAGAAGAACAAAAGTAACTGGGCAAAACTATTCTACTGCTCAACTATGGCTATTATATAATATACCTGTCTTTTTATCACATTAAGTTCACGTTCCACCAGTCTCCTGGCACCATCTGTCTTTGTGTAATTGAGAGGATTTATGTGAAGTTCAGGGAAATAGAGAGTAAAAGATATCAGAAATAAACACAAAAATAGCTTTGGCAGTGCGTGCCATTTAGTATTGCAGAAGCTGACCACAAGTTATCATAATTTTCTTCGAAGGCACGTTTTACAAAAGACCTTGCCAATCCCCACGATTTTGATTCCATGTGTCATTTGCATGACTGGATGTGAATCTTTCAGAACTCAGTTATCAGTTATCTAATATCAGAAGCCAAGAGCATATATTCATTCCTAAATGTTTTCCACCATGACTGCTGCAGACAGCTTGACTTTTTTATGGCGTCCCTGCAACAACCTGGATAATAGCTGTTGGCTTTTGTTTGACATTCAGCCAGCTTTTTCACCAAATTACTGAGTTCTTTTTCCTTAAGAGACAGTATGACAAACTGAGAACTGAAATTAATGTAGACTGATTATCACTATTTTTAGGGGCATCTGCATAGTTAGACTTTTAGAAACACTTGCTTTAGAAAGAAAAATAATATTTTCTGTCTTCAGTTCATAGTTATTCCTGGACAACACTACAAAGTTGAGTTAGCACTTCAGTCATAATTTTGGTAACCAAGGAGGAGTAAATTTAATATGCAGAAAATTATAATAACAACAAACAAACAAAAAAACCCCAAGACCGTATCACCTATGCTTCAAGGCTGTGAAATACCAAGTTTGAGTAAACACCTGAGCACCTGAAATGACAGACGCACTCACTTCAGCTGATGTAACCAGTCCTAAGAGCACTGTTGTCCCACGTCAGGTTTTGCCTCTTTGTTTTATAATGACAAAGATAGAAATCATCGCTGACCAGTGTTTGCTGTACAGTGGAGTAGATATCTGAGATGTGATGAGTATTTCTTTCAAAGAGGAAATGGGGGCAAATGTTAATTGGAAAGTTACTACAGGGCACACCTGTGAGAAGTACTGAGGGTTTAATATTCATATGTAGAAACTATATCTATGCATTCACACTGCAATTTCATCTATCCACACTTAATGAAAATAAGAAATATAGACTTAAACATCTCCACTCTCCAACTGCATTCTGAGAGAGAAATTTGGAATAAGAAAGGGTTGTCAGCAATTCAGACAAAGCTGATGCTTTTCAGAAGTCATTCCTTAAACTTAATGATGTAAGCTAATGGATTATTTTTAAAAGTGCTAAGCATGCAAAGTTTGAGCTGACTGTTAGGTTTTTAGCTCCTCAGAAATTCAATGGAGATACCAAGTTCTGGTTCTGATCCTGCTGAGTTCAATGGCCAATTTCCAATTAATTTCAAAAGGTCAAGTTCTCACCTTCTACTTTGTTAAATCTTCATTATACTGTCCAGATGTTCCACTTGCAGTCATATGTACATGAAGACTAGATAGATAGATGGCTGTTCAGGGCCTTTGTGTCTGTTGTGCTGGTCTTCCAAGGACATACATGTTGATGTAAGGTGTTTTCTTTGCTTTCTCCTTAAATCTGAAAATTATACCTTGACCTGAAACTCAGCAGAACAGATAAGGCTCTGGGCTGACTTACTTGGCTGGAAATGTTTAGTCAATGAAGCAATTTCATTGCTTTGAGTGATGGGAGCTTAGCATGTTTCAGCATGTTGCCCTGGAAAATAAAACTATTAATGTCATGAAACTCATGTTTGTCTTATACCACACTTTTCAAGGTTAAACCTGCATGTTTAAAAACTAGAAAGCTGTATGACTTTCCACAAGCCCTGGACTCCTACTCCACTGAAGTAGCTTTCCAGTTTTTACCTTCAGTTTCTTGTTTCCTTCTTCATGCTTTCCTTCATGTCCCCTTCAACTTTCACATTTGTAGTGAAGCCTGTCTCCTCTCTCATGGAGTACAATTTCCCAACCTGATTCACAAACTCACAAAGAGATAATAGAGACAGGAGAGCAATGAACTTGTATTCCCTAGAAGGACTTGACATCAGTGAGATCAATACGTTATCCAATCTCCTCTCTCATTCAGCAGATAAGAGGTGTGAATAGATTGACTTCTTTTGAAATGTGAAAGAAAAATGTTAGGGAAAAACAGCTGGACACTGCTGTAGTGTCAGGTAGATAATTACTTACATGGAGACAATTTTTGATATAAAATGAGTATGTTGGATAGGATGCAAATCTTTGCAAAGCAAACTTGTTTGCTTTATCCTGAAAGAATTATCTTCGTTGAAGAGAGAGCTAAGTACTTGTAGGATTTTATCTCATATACTGCCTTAACCTTCCCAGGTTTGCTTTGTCCCACTATAACTGCTAGGTGGCTTTGTCTCACACACAGTCAGATCATAGAACTATTTGAGCTTCGCAGTCACTTCTACACATAATTTTTCCTACGTATTGGAGAAATTATTTTCAAGACCCTTCTTAATGTGTGATCAGCCATTCTTGGCTGCGTGCTCCCTTGTGAAGACATCAGCGTCCATTTTTGAAGACCGCTCTTGGGAACTTTCAACAGCAGATGCAAATCCAAATGTTACACACAGAGTCATTTGGTATTTAGTAATCAGCAGCCTCTGCTGCAGTCCCTTATTCCTTATTGTCTTGTTGACTAAGAAGGGAAATTAATCCCTGTGCAGTTTGTAACAGCCTATTTAGGAATTTGTAGGCATTTGTTGGGTTCCCTTAATCTTTTTTTTTCTTTTTTTTTTAATCTGAGTAGATTCTGTTCTTTTAGCCTCCCCTAATGAGACTCTCTTTTAATTATTTTTGATCAGTTTGTTACTGTCCTTCAGGGGAAGCTTCACTTTTGAGTTAAATGCAGCTTGGAGTATGCCATGTCTTGAGAAAGGCTTTCCTCTTCATGTGAAATCTGCTTTCTGCATGCAAAACTGTCCACTGCCACCTCAGTCTTAAGTGCCTGGTCTCTCCACTCCCTTGCAATTACATGATTGTGTACATAAATGAAACAGGATGTGCAAAACAGACAGGAATATTGTTGCATTGAGCTGTTCATACTGCTGGGTAATGGAGAACCTCGCCCTGGGTTGTTCCGCACACAGCTTGGCCATTGCAGCTTGAATTCTAGGATGGAGTAATTCTACTTTCTCTACTTGATTATTAATAATGAGCAACTTTGAGCCTGCCATCGTTTCTAGAATACTGGCTTCGTCCCATGTCATTTGGACAATGCATTAGAAGGCTTCATTGAATCTCTGAAAATAGCATGCAGTGCCTCCAGGGACAGTTTACCTGAAGGCTCTGACTGTAAACTAAAGACTGTATTATTATAAATGGCCTAAGGCCAGCTCTGGATCAGATCCAGGGCACTAACTTGTCTCTGGAAGAGAAGCCTGAACTGGCACATAGCAGATTGACCCCTTCAAATTTAACTGAATAATCCTTGGTAGACTTTCCCAGCCTGTGGGCAAGAAAACACTTCAGTAATCGAAGACAGCACAGTAGAGCCACCACAGAGTAGTGAGAGTGAATCATTCAAAATGTTTAGAAGCACTGCATCTCCAAGAACAGCATGGACAGTTCACATGATGCAGTGTGTTAGACAGACTATCCTGGAAGAGCCTTCCATCTCTGAATCTGTGAG